CCCGTGTCCCCTGCATAGGCAGGCGGACTCTCAACCACTGCACCACCAGGGAAGCCCCCCTGTTATTCCTTTTTCCACTTTCTCTTCCTCCTTCCTCTTCATCTTAACACACCATAATAAAGAATGAAAGAGTATTTATCACTGATTATATTTATTGAATAGGTTTTTCTTTTTTAGGTTTAATTTTAAAGCATTGGTATAATGATCTATATTTTCCTAACTAAATTAAGTTGCTTTTCATTTATATGGCTCAAATTAAAAAAATTTTAATTTTTAAAAACTAATGGTTACTGGGCTTCATTAGAAAAAGAGATTCTTCTTTGCACTGGATTTGGAGCGTGGTAAACAGTTAAAGCATTGAATTGGATTCTAGTTCTGGCTCTGCCATTAATCAGCTGTGTGACCTTGAACAAATTGCTCGATATTCTTAAGTTTTTTCTTCATCTGTAAAATAAGAAGAAGGCATTATATCTATAAATTTAAACATTTTTAATGCACCAACATGCCTAGGGCCAATCCCATGTCTCCTTGGTGGTGTGTCTGTGCGCGTGTGTATGTGTATGTGCGTGTGTGTGCGTGTGTATGCATGAAGGAGAGCATTGGCAGTTATGTGTTTAGATGGAAAAAGCCCCAAGTATCTAAGAAATGTCTCCTTTGGGAGTGGGATAGTGTATCGGCACTCCTTGCTGTTGAGAATCTTGTGTCAGAGAACAAGATTATTTCTGAAATTCCAGCTCTCAGTTGAGTTGTAAGCAGTACTCCTCCTATGAGGGGGTGGCCACCTACCTCATTTGATTTTAGTTGTGCCCCCAAATACCTACCCAGTCAAAAACATATCCAACCTCTTTTTTCCTCTCATCTTCCCAGTCCCAGCTTTCTTTCATGGAGTCAGCTTTGTGGATTTTGGCCTGAAGTTTTTGATCGTGAAAGTTACTGTTGGATTAGGATAGATTTGGAAAGTATTTTCCAAGGAACCCTAGTAGTTTGAGATGTTCAAGTCAAAAGGACTCTGGTGAAATAAGTTTCAGAAATGCTGCCTATTATAGCCTCTTCTTCCAAATATTTCTAATGCATATAGCAGTTTTGAAATAAGGAATCCTGTATAATTTTCTTAACTTGGAGCTTCCAAATTAATGTGAACATTAAAGACTCTTTTCATTTTTAATACCTATCAACCTCGTATAGAACTATTGTTCCACAGTGTTCTTTGAGAAATGATCAGATAGATAATAGAAAGAGGGTATTGTCTTCAGAATTCCATATGAAAGACTCATGTATGTTTTGTGAGACAGATTTTTGGGTCCTTTTCCATTAAGCTGCATCAGTTTATTTGATTAGTTTCTTTCTTTTTTTTTTTTTTTTTGCTGTACGCGGGCCTCTCACCATTGTGGCCTCTCCTGTTGCGGAGCACAGGCTCCGGACACGCAGGCTCAGCGGCCATGGCTCACGGGCCCAGCCGCTCCGCGGCATGTGGAATCCTCCCGGACCGGGGCACGAACCCGCGTCCCCTGCATCGGCAGGCGGACTCTCAACCACTGCGCCACCAGGGAAGCCCTTGATTAGTTTCTTGAAACCAAGATCCCAAAAGGATGACTTTCAGGGAAGGATAAGAAGAGAGATAGAGTGTGTGGTAGGAGCACAGCCATGGTAATCCCTGGGTGTTGGTGGGTTAGAGAAGATAGAACTAATAATGGTATAAGGCATGAGGGGTGTGGTGAGCTAAAAACTGGTCCACGTCAAAGCTATCCATGTCAAATCCCAGAAACCTGTGAGTGTGACTTTATTTGGCGAAAGGGTTTTTGCAGATGTAATTAAGTTGAAGATTTTGAGATGAGATCATTCTGGATTATCAAGATGGGCCCTAAATGTAATGGCAAGTGTCCTTATAAGAGGCACACAGAGGAGAACAGACACACAGAATCAGAGATGATGTGCCCACAGAAGCAGCGATTAGAGTGATGTGGCTACAATTTGGGGATGGCCAATGACTGCCAGAAAGTAGAAGAGGCAGGGAATAGAATCTCCCCTGCTTGCCAAATCCTTGATTTTGGACTCCTGGTCTGTGAGAGAATAAATTTCCGTTGTCTTTAGCCGTGCAGTTTGTGGTAATTTATTACAGCAGCCTTAGGGAACCAAAACAAGGGGGAAGAGCTCTGAAGGGCAACAGTGAAGCAAAACCTTAGCCACTTTAGGGTGTTACCCAGAGCCCTCCCTGACTGGTGTTTTCCATGGCAAAGGCGCAATGGGAGCGCCAGCCCTGAATGTGGCAGGGGTTTGGAGAAGCCGTTTATCCTGGATGGGATTCCTGGCCCCAGCTTAGGTTGCTTCCCTGTCCTCAGCAACAGCCCTTGACATGTGGAACGTGAGCTGCCTGTCCTTCTTCCCACAGGCCACCGAGGCAGAGTGCTGCACCTGGCTTTGAGTCCAGACCAGACCCGGGTTTTTTCTGCCGCAGCTGATGGCACGGCCTGTGTGTGGAATTGCTGCTAGTCACTCAGCCCCTCTCAGCTTCAGCTTCCTGATTTCTACGTGAGAATAATGATGTTGGCCTTGCCTTCTCCATGGTGTGGTCATGAGGCTCAAACAAGATGCCGTGCTTTTCCTGAGGTGAATGCCTGTTCTCCCGACCTTCCTTCTCAGGTTACTTCACTTGCTCTGCTTCGTTCCATTGCATTTCCCAGACACCGTCTCTGACTCTATGCTTCTCTCTCTGATTTCCCCCTCCTCTTCCCCTTTTCTTCTTCTTCTCTCTCTGTCTTTTCCTCGTTAGAGGTGCATTTTCACTGCTATAGTCACAAGACTATCTACAGCAAAGATTTCTAAACGCTTCTTTGTCGCTCGGCTTTTCTCCCAAGCTCCAGCCTCATACTTGTTTGTCTCTGGATATTTCTTTTCTGAGATATTTTTTTTGTCTTTAGCTCAAACTCAATACATTAAAAACACAACTTATTCACTTGAAAAACATTGATTAAAGTGCTGCTCTATGTTAAGCATGCGTATTATTTCCTCTCAAAAAGAGGACTTCTGTGGGACTCCCTTTTCTCTTATCATGGTGTCATCTTTATCCTGGTCCTCCCATTACTCAGGGAGCCTCCTGGTTATTCAGTTTACCCCTTGTTCTCTGTTTGTTGTTTTACCCTTGTAATGTCCTGCATACCTGATGACCAGTTTGTAGTAATTGCCTTCTAACTGGCTTCCTGTCTTTATTCTTCATGGGTCTCCACGTTACTGCTAGGTTACATTTCTAAAAGCATCGTGCTGGTCCTCCCGTCCCCTGCTCATAGACTCTCAATGACTCCCATGACCTAACCCCCTAGGCCTCCACCTCGGAGTCCTGAGCCCAGAACCTGAAGTTGGGGACCTGTACCAGTTATGGCTCTGCCATAAACTTGCTGAGTGACCTTGGGTATGTCACAACATTTGCAAGAATAGGAATTTGGATTTGATAACTGCTAAGGTTTCTTCAAGCTTGATCAGACCACTGTTCTATCTTTTTTTTTTTTTTGCGGTACGCGGGCCTCTCACTGTTGTGGCCTCTCCCATTGCGGAGCACAGGCTCCGGACGCTCAAGCTCAGCGGCCATGGCTCACGGGTCCAGCCGCTCTGCGGCATGTGGGATCTTCCCAGGCCGGGGCATGAACCTGTGTCCCCTGCATCGGCAGGCGGACTCTCAACCACTGCGCCACCAGGGAAGCCCCACTGTTCTATCTTTTTAACGTTAATCCTCACTCCTTCCTGTGTTAACCCTGGGCTAAGTCTTATGATTTCCTGCCTTATGCTTTTGTTAGACCTCTTCTTTCTAGTCTGGAATTCCTGCTTCTCTCTTCTTTTGCTTTGCACCTTCACATAAGTCCTGACCTCTCCAGGAAGTGTTTTGAAATGATGTTACCTGGCTTTAACTCTTGGCATCAGTCTGTATCACCTACTTTGTGTTAATATAATTATTCTAGTTGTTTTAAAAAAATCTTTTATTACTATGTGAATCTTTGTTTATTTAAGTTTTAACATGCTTATTTCTTCTGGACAATTCGATTGAGGAGTTGAGGGATATTGGCCTTGCCTTCTCCATGGTGTTGTCATGAGGCTCAAACAAGATGACGTGCTTTTTAGTGTCAAGATGTTATATTTTTTAGTGTCCTTTGGAATGTTTTGCATGTGTCAGCTAACATATGTTGATTAATTTATTTGCTTTGTCATAAATGGTTTTTACCAATACATACACACTCCCTTAATACCGCTCCTCAAAAAAAAAAAAAACCAAATAAAAGCCTTGATAATTGAAAAGTGGAATAGTAAATACAAGGGGTGTTAGGACTCTCCTGACAAGTTGCCATACATTCTGTTCTTTTCCCTGTTTTTAAACTCAGAAAATCTGCTTGGTAGTGCTAGTAATTTTTAACTTATAAAATTTTAGGTCACCAAAAGCTGCAAATATGCTACATTCCCGCAATACACACTCTTCTTCTTTAAGAAAATGGGTTTCATTTGATCTTCTTCTTATTTAGCCAGGTATAAACTATAAGAAAAAGTTTAGCAGGGAAAGGAGCAAAATGGTGAGGCCACTTCCAGTGTCCCCCACCATTCTGACGTGGTTACTTCTATCTTAACAATCTCATGGCACTATGACATGACCAAAGATCACTTCTCTCAATTAATACTGGTGTGTGAACTAGGCTCTCATTTAAGAAAAATAGCAATTTATCTTTTACTACTGTTAGTTTTGGTGGAAGTCTGGAATATGGTTTCAGTAAAGAAAAAAATGAACTTACAGATAATACACAAAACAGAAGCCTCTGCTACAAAAATTTTGTAATATAAAACTTTTATTGACTAATAAGTTATATAAAGCACATACATCTTAAGTGTACAGCTCAGTGAGTGTTTAATTTATGAATAAGATCAAGATCATATGAATAAATCATCCAGATCAAGATGTGAACATTTCTTTCACCCCCAAAGACTACTTTGTGTCCACTCAGTCAATACCCCTCCATTATTCTGACCTCGGTCACCATGAATTAGTTTTGCCTCATGCCAACCTTCAGATAAATGTAATCATACTGTAAATATTCTTTCTTTTTTTTTTTTTTTTTGGTCTGGTTTATTTTACTCAACCTTAGATTTGTAAGAGTAATTCATATTGTTGCATTCATGCATGACACAGGCATGTAGTTTGGTCTTTTTCACTGCTGTGTAATATTCCATTGTATATACAACAATTGTTTATCCATTTTATTATGAATGGATATTTGAGTTATTTTCAATTTTGACTTTTAAGAATAGAGCTGCTATGGACATCCTCAAACACGTATTTGGTGGAAAAAAAGCCCTCATTTCTGTTTGGTATATACCCAGGAGTAGAATTGTTAGGTCATAGCATATGTGTTCATTCAGTTTTAATAGACACTGCCCCTTTTCCTAAGAAAAGCTCTACCAATTTACACTTCTACCAGCAATGAACAAGGGTTTCATACAACTCTTTTTAAGTGGACTTCAAAATCTGTAATAAATGTTGCCAGTAGGGAATACGCCATTCATCCTCTTATTGCTATTAAAATCCTAATTAGGGATTATAGCAGGCATCTAAAATATCCTCTTAGAGCATCTCTTTTAGATATCAGCATGAGACTTCACTTTCTAATATAGGGGTTCTCATCCCCAGCTGCATATTAAAATCATTGGGGAGCTTATAAAAAGAATACTTTGTCTTGGTTCTCATCAAGTTAAATAAAAATTTCTAAGGGTGAGACCTGAGCATTGGTCATTTTAAAGAGCCTGGTAAGTCTAATGGGCAGCCATGGTTGAAAACCAAAGGACCAGTATTCTGGTCAGTCTTTAAGCTATGTTCCTTCATTTGTCTTAAGAAGCTGTCTCTTAGTGTTGCTGTATGTTCTTAGTTTGGATATACTGTGTGTGTGTGTATGTATGTGTTTATGTATGTATACATGCACACACATATAAGATTTATATTCCAAAGGGAACTGATGGAAATCAGAGGAATCTGTTCACATAATCTCATCTTCAAGTGGCTACTGGGCTGATGACTATCCACTAAGTTCAATACGCTGAATAAATATCTTGAGTTTTTTCCCAAAGGAAAATTTCAGGCCACGATTCAACACTCACTCCCTAGTATGAGATGGCAGTCACTGTAACCACCATGTTGATTAGACCTACCCAGACTCAATGACAAGGGGAACCAAGAAATCACCTAGATAATCCAAGGCTTAAATTCAAACTACTGAGAAAGGAGGCTGACTTTCCTTGTATCCTTTTTTTGGCTAGCTAAGTGCCTCATTAATATCCCCTAGAATTTTAATTTCTGTTTCTCACCTGCCTTTGGAAAATACTGTAAGGCATTTTCTGTTTCTACTTCTCCCATCGACTCAGGTTCTTACATATAAATCTGAATAGCAGGTGTTGATGTGGAACAATGGCCTTTGAAGGGCAAACATTTCCTTTTAATCCAAACGCTCCAGACTGGCTCTCTCTGTTTCTTGCAGAATTGCTGAGCCCTTCACTGTACTTGTTACTAGACAGACTGACCTTAGTGTCCCTCCTGCTGGGCCCCACTGAATCAGTGAAGTGAATATTTCAAGCCAAGTTTGCATGTCACTTGTCACATGGATGACACAGGTGACATTGGTCCCTGATCTCTCCTTTGCATTATCCGCAAGGTCTCTATATTACTCTGGTTCACTTTGCTGGTGGAGATCTGCCTGCTAAAGTTATAGGAGAGCAACAAGTACAGTGATACAAATTGATTTTATTTATGATAAAATTAAGACATGACAGCAGTGGGCATATACCTGGAGAAAACCATAATTCAGAAAGATACATGCACCTCAATGTTCATTGCAGCATTGCTTACAATAGCCAGGACATGGAAGCAACCTAAATGTCCATCAACAGAGGAATGGAGAAAGAAGATGGGGTACACATATAGAGTGGAATATTACTCAGCCATAAAAGGAACAAAATAATGCTTTGCAGCAACATGGATGGACCTAGAGATTGTTGTACTGAGTGAAGTAAGTCAGACACAGAAAGACAAATATCATATGATATCGCTTATATGTGGAATCTTAAAAAAAAAAAGAGCACAAATGAACTTATTTACAACACAGAAGTAGAGTCATGGATATAGAAAACAAACTTATGGTTACCAGGGGATAAGAGGCAGGAGGGATAAATTGGGAGATTGGGACTGACGTATACACACTACTATATATAAAACAGATAACTAATAAGAACCTACTGTATAGCACAGGGAACTCTACTCAATACTCTGTAATGGCCTATATGGGAAAAGAATCTAAAAAAAAGGAGTGAATATATGTATATGAATAACTGATTCACTTTGCTGTATACCTGAAACTAATACATCATTGTAAATCAACTATACTCTAATAAAAATTTTAAAAAAAGAAGTAACAGCAAATGAAATGAAATACGGTTATCTAAACTGCATGTTTCATAGTCTTAGCTATCCAGCTGAGGTGTTTCTTTGAGAGAAGAGTATAGACGCCAGGTCCTCGAGGGTCTCCGCATTTCCCTGGAAGGCCAAAGGCAGTGATGCCTCTGAAAATGCCTTCACATATCAAAGGGCTCCCAGAATCTCCCTGGGGGAAAACAAGAGGAATGATGAAGACCAGCACCAAATATGACCACTAGCAGAATGGAAGAAATTCCATTTAATGTGGAGCCTTTAAGGTGAGGTTAAGACCAGCCTTGACTTACTTGACAATTAGTGCTTAAAAAACCCAAATGTTTGGGAATATTCAATAATATGTTCAAATTGGTTTTCTCGATTTGTTTATGAAGCAGTGAAAATTGAAATGAAACTTGTATTATTTGTGTAATCCACTAACGTTGAGACAAATTCTCTGCTTTAGAAACTCTCCTGTTTGTCATTTTCTCAAAATGTTTAATAATCGCTCAAGGGATAAAATAGTCAAATGCAGATTGGCCACTGAGGCAAAGAATAAAAGCCATGTTTTCTAGTTCCTCCAGCAGATAATTGTCTTCCCAAAGGAACAAAGCCGAAGCAACCTTTTCCTTCCCCTTCTCAAATAGACAGAAATTGCTACCTCGAGTCTCCTTTTTTTTTTAATGAGAAAGAAACATTTAATGAAATAAGTTATACAACAGTATCTCTAAAGAGCGTATTGAGTGTGAAAGACTCAAAATAAAATTCAACTAATCAATACAGTAATCATTGAAGAGAAAATTACATTTTAAAACTTGTGTTATTAATCTGCCAGTCTATCACCCTATATAGTATCAATGAACATTAAAATTAGACCTTGGAGGTCAATTCCTTCAAACTCCCACAAACACCATTCTTTTCTAGCAAACATCGTTCATTTAGTCAATATTTATGGAGCATCTACCATGTGCCATGTAGTCTTCTAGACACTAGGACTAAATCAGTGAACAAAATAGACAAAAAGAAAAAAAATAGACAAAAAGTACTGCTCTCGTGGAATTTACGTTATTCTTTGATTTTCCTC